CTATAAATTACCAAACTAGAACAAAAACTACAACCAGTGCCACTAAATAGCCCACTAAAGCTAGATAGCTCATGGGGTAAAGGTACTTGCCTCCAGCCTGAATACCAGGGTTAGATCTTAGAAATCCACATGGCAAAAAGAAAAACTAGGCTCCAGCAAGTTCTTCACTAATCTCAGCATACACAAGGATCAAATGTCCTCACTCCCACCAAACACATAAATGTAAAACAAAACAAAAACAACAAAAATCTAACCATAAAGCAACACACACACATACCCTAAACTAAAAATGTGAATGGCCAACACCAGATGGAATTAGAGCAAAATTGCATGTAATTCCGAAAAGATAATGTCATTTAACTATTCCAAGCCATTACAGAAAAAAGGAACGTGAACCAATTTATTTGTGAAGTCAGCATAATTTCAAAAACAAATCCATTAAGGGAAAGGAAGGAAGGGCCCTGCAATAAGAAAAGAAAGACCAGCAAACATCAAATCAACCTCATTCATGAATATAAATACAAAAATTTTAAATATTTGCCAGCGATTAGATGATTGTAATACTGTATCAAAGGTACCAATATAAGACATAAAAAATTAAGAGAAAGCCATATGATGGGGGGAGGTCTTCTGTCTATGTGTTACTTTCATTGGTTAATAGAGAGACTGCCTTGGCCTTTGATAGAACAGAAAATTAGGTAGGCGGAGTAGACAGAACAGAATGCTGGGAAGAAGGCAATGCGGCAGATGCCTCAGGCAGACGTGAGTTCACATCTGTCTGTAACTTGAGTTCCAAGGGACCTGATGTCCTCTTCTAACCTCCCTGGGCACCAGGCATTGTGATATACAGATGTACATCTAGACAAAACCTTCATACACATTAAATATAATGTTTTAAAAGATACTAAACCTACTTGAATAGTAACTAATAAGATTTAAAATGTCCATTGCTCTCATAATTACTTTAAAACACAAATGAAAAACTTAAAGCACACACAAAAACATCAAAATAAAACCCTCAAGTACTAACCTTTATTCAATTTCAATAATTAGCAACTCAAGGCCAATATTAGTTTATTTCCAACTTCCCTAATGACAGTGAAGCAAATCCTAAATACACACTTCATTTATAGTTCAGTATGCACAAGGCTCCTAAAAATGGCAAGCTATTATTTCTAGAGAAAATTAATTATAACTGTTTAATTCAATCAAATACTCAACTGCCTCATTTTTTCATTAGAATCAAAATGCAAGTAGGATCTAGATATTGTAGTTTTATTATTATTTAGTACTACCTTATTAGGATTAGTGAATCAAGAAAAATCATGAAACAAAAGTACTTTGCTGACAGGACTGAGTATGCATAAAACATAATACCTGAGTTATAAGAACACAAAACAACAGTAGCCGGGCATGGTGGCTCACATCTTTGATCCCAGCACTTGGGAGACAGAGGCAGATGGAACTCTCTGAGTTCGAGGCCAGCCTAGTCTACACAGTGAATTCCAGGACAACCAGCACTGCATAAGAGAAAGACTCAATTAAAAAAAAAAAAAAGTCCAACAGTAAAGCAGGCTAAGAGGTACAGGCCTTCAATCTCAGGTATCTGAGTGACTGTCACGGGATCATGAGCACAGACGTTCCAGGTCAGGCTGGAACAAAAAAAGAACTTTAGAATAAGGTAATTTATTTGGCTGAGTGCTAAAAAAAGGTATGTGATGAGTCAAAAGTTTCTTTCTAGCTGGCTGTGGTGGTACACTGCTGTAATCTCAGCACTCAACAGAGAGGAAGATTGCAAATCAGAGGCCAGCTTGGACTACACAGGGAGACAAGGTCTCAAACACTGTAAATTTCCTTCTGTGTGTGTGTGTAAGAGAGAAAGAGAGAGAGAGAGAAACTGGTACTAGAGGAGTAGACCCCTGGTTTCATGTATGCTAGACAAAGGTTCTATCAATGAGCTGCATGCCAACATTCAACGTTTCTTTCTATACAGCATTAAACATTTAGGAACAGAAATAGGGAAAAATACTTAACAAGAATAAAATCATGAAAATAGAACCTCATGTGGTAGCACAGCAAGAGGTTGAGGCAGGAAGATTACAGATTTGAAGCCAACCTGGATTATACAGTGAGTTCTCAAATAGTATAGGCAACAAAGAAACCATGTCTGAAAACACAACAAAACACTCAAATACAAAAGAACACATTTTAGGTTCTTTGTCTTTTTTGGTTTTAAGACAGTCTTTGTAATCAAAACTCACCTTGAATTGGCAATCCTGCTTCAGCCTCCTGATTGCTAGGATTACAGGGGTGCAATACTATTCTTGGCTACAAACAGATTTGGGGGGGAAGCGCTAAACATATTGTTTCCCCAAATTGGTATAATTAATTCAATTGTAAACTGGCATCCGTAAGGTATGACTTCTTTAAGCCCTGGGTAAAATAACCTTTGTTGTTTACTCAGAAGGATAAATACCTGAGAAGTACAGAACTGAAGAATACAATGATTCTTCAATATGGAGCATGCCAGGCTATGAATTCTTTACTCTACATGCAAACCACTGGATCCACAATGGTCTTCTAACAATTCAGTAACCAAAACAAAAAAGGGTTTTGGTTTTGTGAGGGGGTATAATAGGGACCCAGGACTCTTGCACTCAGGGAAAGCACTCTACCAACCGAACTATATATCCCCATTAATGCCAAAATGAAAGCTGTGAGAGGAATACTGAATTTCTAAAATACTTGGTTTTTAGTGAGAAAACCTTGATGCATTAACATACTGCCTTAGTACAAAGTGCAGATCAATTAAATCCCCCACATCTAAGACAGGTGAGTAAACTAAATTGTTATTCTTTCACACCGTGTAAATTTCAGATGTCTTAAGTTATTTGTAAATTCTTTATCTTTGACCCACAGCTTCTTTATTCCAGAGTAGGATTATCACCCCAAATTAGATTCAAAAAATGAATAGATTAACAAAAGTGCATTTTTGACATTAGAAGCTTATTTTTGCAAGTGCCATTTATAGTAATGGAATACTCGTAAATAGAAAGCGCCATTCATGTACATAAACTGCTACATTTGTATGGATCACCCCTCCCATCCCCCATTGAGACTTCTCAACCTAGGATCTGAAGAGCTTTTATAAAGTGCCTGGACTACCTTGCCATTTAGATTTCTTAGATGTGAGGATTGCACAAGTACATTGTGCAGCACAACGCTCTTAATGGAGCTTGAGGCAGCATGCCACAATCAAAGGGAGCTGAATTACACTCATGAATGATAATGGAGGGAGGTCCCACCCCCTTTCCCTAGGCTACCCAACTAAACCAGAATGAGAATCTGATCTCATTTAAAAGGTCTTGATCTTTACAGAGCTGTAAAGAGGAAAAACAACTCAAGGTGGAAAAATTGAAAAATAGAACGTGACAAACTTTACAACTAAGAAAATCATCACCAAAATTAGATATAGCAGCACACACTGACAGTCTGAAAGTTGGGTACTGCAAAGAATCCCTGACCAGCGACTATGAAAATAAAGCCACTGAAAAGGATTAAATCAGAGGCATGATGAAGAAAGTTTTCATGACCTCTACAAAACCCTACTTCTCCATACGTTAGCATGACTAATTCAGAAATGCATCTGAGGTGCTAAAATCAGGCCACCCGCCAACGGACTCGCCAACGGCCTTGGGTGACCCGCTGCTCGGGGGCCGGTCCCCCACCACCTCTCTATAAATGATAACACTGCGGAAATACTTGAGAACCCGAGGCTTGAATCCCTTGCTATGCAGTAGGCACCCCAATACTAAACGCCAATGGAACACCTAATCCGTCTGATGGAAATCTCACCCAGAGTCCTGAATACCAAGCAAGCAGCGAGCAGGAACTAACACAACAGATAAGGAGAAGACGGAGAACGTGGGAGGTAGCTGCGCTCCAGAAAAGAGGAGCTAACTGGGCTAAGGCCAGCGCCAGAGACCACAGCGGTCTGAACTAGAAGTCCTAAGTATAAGAGTCTGGCATTCGTGTAAGGTAGGACAGGACATGGCCGAGAGGCACTAACAAATGAGGCCGGAAGATACAAAAAGGCCAGGCGTGGTCTGGGCTTAAGACCCGCTTCAGAGTTAGACTTCAACGCTTCTCACCGTTAGAGGCTTCCGCTCCCTGTCCCCTAGTCCCGGTCATTACTACTGTTCCAGTTCTTTGTCTAACATAGCATAACGCCGGGGAAGGCCACAGCAGAAAAGATCCCTCCTCCATACAATTATCCACAGTCTCCAATTGGGGAACCTCATTAACATCTCGGGGTGACTGACTACTACTCCCTCACTTTCCCGGGACGAAAAGTCACCGTTAAGTGAGAAGATGGCCACACAAATAGAAGTGCTTCATAGATGGGAATCTACAGCTGCTTCGCCCAACTCCTCCACCCGCCACCACACAGCATTTGGACCGTGCGCGGTAATCTCGCCGGAACCAGCCACGCCCGCCCCAACGCCCTGGACCCGGCCAGGGCGATTACCCAGATGGGAGACGCCCGTCTAGTTGTCCTCGAAGGGACGACGCCCGCCGCGAGTCCACGGCCGGAGCCACGGACCAAGGGCGCGGCCGCCCCTCCCCCCGCGCGCGCCCCTTCCGCACCCGTCACCACGGCCCGAGTAGCCGGGGCGACCGATGGAACCCTCGCCAATTCCTCAGGACGGCCAGCTCGACTGGGGCCCCCGCGACAATGGGGACACACCGCCACACACACTCACCCACTAACACGCCGGAGAACTCTCTCGTCGGAACACAGCACGGGCCTGCCCCGCCCCGCCGCGCGCGCGAACCGATTGCGTCATCGCGCCGTCCCGCCCCATGCCAACTCCTTCCTGAGCCCCGCGTAGTCCCCTCCCCCGAGGCTGCCAGCAGAGCGCAAGCGTAGACCCGGCTGGCGTCCACCTCTGCGCAGGCGCTGTGCCCCTCCCACGGCGGTTGGCCATATAGAGGCTGGGGGCGGGGGGAGGTCAAGCGTAGCCTCTTCTCCTTTACCAAGATGGCGTCTTGTTCCTGTTTCGCCACAGTTCCTACCTTATGAGCTTGGTTTCCTCGCGCTAATAAGAGAGGAACAGGTAATGAGATGCTTCGCTTTGTGGGAAACTAGAGTTGGGGGAAGGATATTCCTTAGGAGGAATGAGGTGTCCACTGACACTGAGAGCCGATCGGGGGCGGGCAGGTGGCAGCGTGAGTGCGGAGCGGTGAAGGGGAGGGGGCCCTTTGCCTCTGCCCCTTCCTCCAGGAAGATGGCGGCAGCACCGAGCTCGGAGCGCTGAGCCGGGATGGACAGGCGCCTTTGACTTGCCGGCGGGCATCTCTAGCCGCCTCCGCGGTCGTCTCGATGGCGGGTCGCCGTCCTGCGATTGGCTAGGCGCTAATCACGTGGATTCGCGGCCCCCACCATGCAAACCATAGAGTGGTGCCAGTCCCTGGGGACGTGGCCTTCCTGTGCGGTCGTGAGCCCGTGCCCCGCGGGGGAGGGCGGAGCCGGCACGGCCCCTCGCCTCGTTTGGTCTAGGGGCGCGCGGTGAGATCCGCGGCACGCCCTGCGAGCCCGCTGGCCGCGACCGGCTCGAAGCTGGGGAAGGTGCAGTGCTGGACTGCGGCCTGGCCCGGTTGTCCTTTCCTCTGTCCCGGGAGGTCCTCTGACAGGGCAGTGGCCGCAAACTCCCGCCTAGGCCTTGCACCAAGGCCTTTCTATAGGAAAACACCCTAGGGTACCCCCGCCTGAGAAAAAACAATAATCGCGCTACCCTAGTGAGTGGTGTGCACAGTGTCGGTACCCCAAGCTGTTTTGACTCATGCCTGTTGTAAGGGGGTGTTTTGTGAGTATCTACTTTTGAAAAGTAGCCGGTTGCTCGTGGCTACCTGCTGTATGTATCCTGTCTGAGTTAGAAGACCGGAGGGTCAGTCTGGGCATGGTGTTTGCATACGTATAACTATACCAAAGGAGAAACTGACTTATGTTTTATTATCGAGTGTTCACAGACAACGAAACAGTATAGGGGGAAAACTGGAGAATTACAATCTTCACTTACATCATGACTTTCCCTTCAGATTTCGGTTTTTCTACATAAGCCCGCAAGCAATGACTTCACATATTTGTTGGTGTGCCCGCCTTTATTCCCAGCACTCAGGAGGTAGACCAGCCTGGTCTACAGAGTTCCAGGATAGCCAGGGCTACACAGAGAAACCCTGTCTCAAAAAGAAAAAAAAAGTCTCTTTCTTAGCAAGTAACTTTCAGAAACCCAATTAAGTCAGTGATTGTTTTGTTTGAGGCTAATAGTAGCCACAATCCACGACTAAATATTTATTATGAAAGCATATGTGAATATGAAAACATGGGGCAGAACCTAGCTTAGGCTTGTTTTGAACTCTTTAAAGTACCATAGGCTAAACTTGTTAAACTTGTTAGTTATGTTAGACACTGGGATACTTGAAAGCAGTGCTCTAAAGTAGCTGAAAGGGTCTTTGGTTTAAAAAAGTGTATTAATACTTCTGCTTTCAAAACAATCCTTAACTTATTATGGCAGTTTTAAACTTAGAGAAAACGGGGCATATCTTCTCCAGTGTCAGGGATAGTCTTTGAAAAAGTTAAGTAATTTCCAATGGCAGCCAAACCGTGTTGACTCATTAATTATGAGTACTGCACTTCTTAGAGGCTTGCTTCACCTTGAGAACACCTGGAAGAGGCAGCTAGCTCAGAATGGACAGGGACACTTACACAGGTGGATCCTTATCCTTTCCTGTCTTACAGGTTGACTTCTCAGTGGCCAAATAGACTTTTAAGTACATTTCTTTTAGTATTGTCTTAATTTTCTAATGTCAGCCTAATAACCCCACTTCTTTGGCTTTTAAAATAATGGGGCACAACATGCTGTTAAAAGATTCTGGAGATGCAGATAGAAAAGATCTATTTTTCTCCTAGCTGTCTATGGTCTAGTGTAGAAGATTTACTTGGAAAAGAAAGCTTATTTTACAGTCTGATGAGGGCCATAATGGATTATATAAATGAGATAGGAAAACATGATTAGTTGTTGGAAAGCCTTACATACAGCGAAAGGTTGAGAATTCAATAGTCAGCTGATTCCTTGAGCGGTAGAGGACTTAACTGAGACTGTATGAAGAGGGCATCGTGACCTGCTGAGTCCCATCTCAGTCTGAATCAGTATAGGATTATGACCACTGGGATGATCTGTGACATTCCTTACATTCTATATGTAAGGTAGATTCTTCATTAATATCTCCCAACTGAAAATGATTTACTGTAGAGTCTTGAGCAGAGAGCATGCTTTTTTGCTGTTTTTGAATCTTGGACAATTTCACACATCTATCTTACATATCTTGGTTATCTGCACTCAAAACTCTCCCCTTCCACTCTCTGTGGACAACACCCTTCCCCTTTTAAATAACACACTGAGTTCAGTTAATGCTTTTAGCATGAACGTGGAGAATCTACCAGCATTCACTACCAGGAAGAAAAATGATACCACCACAACCCCTCAGCAGCCATTTATTGCCGGTAACTCCTTAATTGATGTGGAGCTTCATGAGCCCTTATCCTGTTCATAGCTGAAAATGACTGGCTTAATCTTGTGCAGATAACTGTACTGCTCTGAGTTTGTTCCTGTCTAGCAGGCAGTACTTCATAGCACTTCTTCCTGTCTTCTGACTCCTCTATTACTTTCCACCCCCTTCCGCAGTGTTCCCTGAGTCTTGCTGGGAACCAGACCCCATTTAGGTCTGAGCACTCCCAAGAATACAAGATTTCTTGAACATTTCATTTTGGATTTAAAAAATTCTATTATCTTAGAATTACAAAGAAGTGACTGTTCTTTAGTGTTATTTAGAGACTGTGCTTTGATACACAGTTTTCATCATGAAGACATCAAAGACTAAAGTGGGCTCTCATTTTTAGTTGTGCAGGTAAATATTATTTTGGGTGTGTTTTAAAACTATTAAAACTAAATCCATAAGCTCACTCTTTTATGAATATTTTAAAAGCAGGAAATAAAATGTAAAACAAATTACAAAAACAAGCATGGTGAGAATTTATCATGTTTTGAAATGAGCTAAGGGTCTCAGACAAAGTCTGTCATCAGGGAGGTAAATATGAGTCTACTCTTCTCTTTGTACCCAATGTATTTTATAATTTAAGATCTAAACAAAGCTACAGGACTAGAGAGAAAGCTCAATGGTTAAGAGCACTTACTGCTTTTGCAGAGAACCTAGATTCAGTTCCCAGCACCCAGATGGCCATTCATATCTGCCTGAAACTCCAATATCAAGGAATCCAACACCCTCTTCTGGATCTTAGGGTACCCGGCCAAAACATGGAGTCAATACATAACATTTAGGCCACTTTTACAAAAGTGAAAAGAAATAACTATAGTTAGGAATGGGGGGTGCATGTCTGTAATTCTAGCACTTGAGAGGCTGATGGAAGTAGCTGAGAGAAGAGATTCGAGTCCTGCTCTGGGTACATGATTGCCTTCTCACTACTTTTTATTCTAGAAGCTGTTTTGATGAACAGAGAAAGACGGAAGACTCTTGATGGATTGTAGCCACACTCAGTCATGTTCTTGTCCAGTTCTTACAGACAGTGGAGGTGCTCTGTAATTGGCAAAGTATAATCTCTTTTGGCTTCTTTCCTCTGTTCCTTTTCTTCCCCCCATGGCTCGTGCTTTTTTGTGATAACCTGTTGGCTGGCTCATCATATACTGCAATTAGATGTCCTGTCTGTGTCTCATTCTGGAGAGCTTTTGTGTGGCAAATTTAACATTTTTCCTGGATTTCGAGACTCCATTGTAATCTGAAGTAGGATGGCAAACTGATTTGCCCTTTCGAACTTTTGTTCTTTTGGCTGCTTTTGATGACATAGGCCATCTCCACATATTCCACATACTCCATCCACCTAGGGTGCATTTGTACACATGTGTACACAGGATAAAAGGCTGTAGTCCCAGCTGGGCAGTGGTGAGGCATGCCTTTGATCCCAGCTTTCAAAAGGCAGAGGCAGGCAGATTTCTCTGAGTTCAAGGCCAGTCTGGTCTACCTGAGCTAGTTCCAAGACAGGCTCCAAAGCTACAGAGAAACGCTGTTTCCAAAAACAACAACAACAAAAGGGCTGTAATCCTAGCACTTGGGCAGTAAGAAGATTAAGCTTTGTTATTCCCAGCTATATGTTGAGTCCCAGGAATCTTGGACAACATGAGACAGTCTCAGAAAATGTTAGAAACAGTGCTTCAGTAAACAAAACAATCTCATGTTTAATCCAAACATAGATAGAAAAGGACAAAAGGGTTATTCTTTACAAGTTATATAATTACTTAATTGGAAAATTGAGTAGAGCTATTGGTGACAAGATTTTAAGTTGACCAGGTACAAAATATCTGCAAATCTAGATTTATTTATTTATACGTAGGATTTCTCTGTGTAACAACACTGGCTACCCTAGAACTCATTCTGTAGACCAGGTGGCCTTGAACTCAAAGAAATCCACCTGCTTCTGCCTCCTAGAGCTGGGATTGAAAATGTGCGCCACCACCACTGGACTAGATTTATTTTTTTACCTTTTTTTTTTTTTTTTTTTGAGACAGGGTCTCTCTGTGTACCCCTGGCTACCCCTGGCTATTCTGGAACTCTCTATGTAGACCAGGCTTACCTGCCTCTGCCTTCTGAGTTCTGGGACTAAAGGAATATGCCACTATACCCAACTTTAGATTTCTTCTATGTAGAAATAATCAGGTACAGAATAACGTAGAAATAAGACATGGTGGGTGGCACACCCCTGTAATCTCAGTACTCAAGAGACTCTGTCTTGAACGTATGCACACGTGCACACACACACCCTAAACGAGAAAACTGATCTGATTACCTACCACAAATATGTATGAACATGTAAATGTGCACAAATACATATGTATACATGCATGTGGATTGTTGTACGTGTGTGTGTGTGTGTGTGTGTGTGTGTGTGTGTATACAGGCACACGATAAATCTATAGCACTTAACAAAAAACCTAAAAATTTATTGGAAAGCTTTTATTAGACGACTGTATTGTAATTTTTCCAT